GCGACGGTTCTTGGCGCGCCTCTCCCGCTTCCCGGAGCGCCAAGAACCGTCGCGCGCTCTTCTCCACACTCTCCTCGGCTCCTCACAACTGCAACTGACGTCTAGTCCAGAAGCGGCAGGGGCTATCGAGCTGGAAATCCAATCCCCATTAGCCCCAAAAGCCGCTTCTGGACATCTATTGCAGTCGCGAGGAGCAAAGCAGCTGGGAGATCTTTTTCCACATATAAAGCGCACTGTGTTATAAGCCGCACTGCCGGTTTTGGATCAAATTTTAGGATTTTCAGTGCGGCTTATAGTCGTGAAAATACGGTACATCTTCTGTATATGTTTCTTCATTTTTCCAGTGTTGTGCAAATACAATTCTTGCTGCTCTCAAAACATGTAATATTAAGTATATATTCCTTTTATCATACTTTTCTGGTACTATACCTAACAAAAATATTTCTGGTTTATAATCTATATGCTGCTTTAACATTTTTTTCTAACCATGTGTTTGTTTTTGCACATATCCAGACATTAGACATATCTTTCATAAATACTTCAAAACCTGTTTAATTTATTGCCACTGAATGTTCAAATACTGAAACCCCTTGGCAGAAGAATTGATTTTTTTTAAGATGCTAGCATTTTGTTCAAGGTAAGTTAAAAAAGAAAAGAAATGCTGGTCACAATTATAATGAAAGCTGATTTTCCTCTCTAACCCATTACAGAATGAAAAGGCATTGTCCTATCTATATGATGACATTTTAATGAGAATTTGAAATAGAAATGGAAGTGCACTTTTGTCATGCACTGGAAACACTTTATTTTCTTCTGCAGCTACCTGTTTCACTTCCAAATTAGTTCTAGTATGTTAGTGCACTGGGACTGAGTTTGTGCATATTGGAACTGACTAATTGATCATACAAAATAGTTTAGATAATGAACTTGTGCATTATAATTATGGTTTACTGGATTTTCTCATGTTGGTTTCCCTTCAATTTCTGTGTATGTGTGTGAAATCTCATACTCTTTATGGAGAATTGTTTTGAAAGATAAGGTGATTTGACAGCTAGGTAAACACTTGATATTTTTGGGGGTACAGGTATATTCAATGAGTTGATAGTCTAGCTTCTTATTGGTACATGTTTAGTACTACGATGAACAGTTGCAGGAGCTAGGTGTTTCTAGTCAAATAAAAACAGGGTTAGCTAGGGGTGACTTGATAGAAGTCTTCTAATACTTCTCTATCATGGAGAGGAGATTGACCTGTTCTCCAAAGCATTTGGGAACAAGACAAGAAGGAATGGGAGGAAGATCATTAAGAGAGATCCAACATAGAACTAAGGAGAAATGTCCTCACTAAGATCAATTGATCAGGAGAAAGACTCTTCTCCAGAAATTGGGAGTACAGTACTCCATCATTGGAAGTTTTCAAGAAGAGATTAAACAGCCATTTGTCTGGAATGGAATAGGGTTTCCTAGAGAGTTGGATTAGAAGATCTTCAAGTTGCCTTCCAACCCTGTTGTTTTATGTTCTACTTAAGAATTACTCTAAAACTATGTTTAAATGCAATCAGCAGCAGTTGGCAAGTGTGGGAATAATTATGGTACGAACCAGAAGAGAGAGTTCTTGCTTCACTATGCAGCTAATCTCAATGTATTACCCCTGTTGGTTAGCATCTGTTCAATTTGATTCAGGTCTCTGAGCTGTCAATCAAAGCAGAATAGTCCTGAAAACTGCTGGAAGTTGAGGAGTGGGGATACGCCTGAACTGGTTTGAGCTGGCTGATCTCACTGCTTAGCTTTTGCTTGGTTGCACCACCAGCAACAAAATAGTTCATGGACTATCAGATTGTTAACCAAATTAACACCTGTGTATACTTGGGACAATTCTAGCAGTTGTTGGAGATCAAATGAACCTGATGGCATGAGGACACAACAGAAAAAAAGTTATACTGTGCGCGCAAACATACACCCCTATTTTGCGGGAGTCCTAAGCAAGATGAATGAAAGTAACTCATTCTCAGGCTCATGTTAGACAATATTAATCAAGTGGTAACATTGCATTACTATATTATCTTGAAATGTGGGGATCCAATTGGACTGTGTACTTAATTTTGATGTTTTTTTAAAAAAATAAACTGATGTTCCAGTTTGATAGAAGTGTTCAATCTTCTAGATTAAAATATTACGCTTTTAGAAGGTTAATTGATTAGATGTATGCTTATTACTAGAGCCAGTTGGTATAGTAATGGGGCATCAGGCTAAAACCCAAGTTCCAGTTCAGCATTGGGGACAAAGCCATCTGGGTGACCCTGAGCAAGAAACTTTCTCTCAGCCCTGGAAAGAAAGTAATGCTAAACCACTTCTGAAAAAACTTGCAGGGATTTGTCCAGGTAGTCTCTGAGAATTGGACATGATTCATTGGAAGGGGGAAAAATGCTGTTACTATAAAACAACTGGACCAAATCTTTTAGAAAGTTCATGAGCAAATAAATAAAATTAAGCATTGAAGGCTTTATCTATTTCAGTCGTAAAGGTTTTCATTTAACTAAGTTGTGGATGCTACGATACCGAACTGAGAAGGGTAAAGACAAATTATATTTGACATAGATTAATGATAGACATATTTGCTGCCCATAGTCAATAATTTCTCATATTAAAAATTAACATTTAACCACGAATGTTAAAAAAAATTCTGAGCACTGAGTTCAAGGCAGTTTGAATGTCTTCAGCTCTGGTATCTTGGATTTCTTAATTTTTTCATGACTTCCATGTAAATTTCAGTTATCTGTGTCATGGGCACTCCATAGCATAATCTCTCACATTTCAAGGAAAGTCTATGGCTTTCCTAATAATCCTAATAAAATAACAGTTGCGAAGACCTGCAATCTTTAGAGGACCCCTCACATCCTGGACATAAATTGTTTCAACTCCTACCCTCAAAATGACGCTATAGAACACTGCACACCAGAACAAGTAGACACAAGGACAGTTTTTTTTCCTGAATGCCATCACTCTGCTAAACAAATTCCCTCAACAATGTCAAACTACTAAGTCTGCATTACTATTACTATTAATCTTCTCATTGTTCCTATCACCC